TTCGGCTGTTGAAACTTGTGCATGCTTTGCCAAGTTCTCGTGCTGTGTTTTTCAGCTCCATCAATTCACTTTTATTCCTTTCTAATTTGTCCATTCTCGTTAGCATTTCGTCAAATCTTTTTTCAAGGTTCTTAGTTTCTTTGCATTGTGTTAAAACATGTTCTTTTAGTTCACAGAAGTTTCTTACTACCCACCTTCTGAAGTCTGATTCTGTCATTTCATCACACTCATTCTCCATCCAACCTTGCTCCCTTGCTGGTGAGGAGTTGTGATCCCTTGTAGGAGGAGAGGTGTTCTGGTTTCAGGTGTTTTTATCCTTTTTGCACTGGTTTCTTCCCATCTTTATGGATTTATCTACCTGTTGTCTTTGCCGAGTTGCTGACTTTCAGATTGGGTCTCTGAGTGGACATTCTGTTTGTTGATGATGAAGTTATTTCTGTTTCTTGGTTTTCCTTCTAACAGTCTGGCCCCTCTGCTGTAGGACTGCTGAGGTCCACTCTAGGCCCTGCTTGCCTGGGGATCACCTGCAGCAGCTGTAGAACAGTAAGGGTTGCTACCAGTTTCTTCTTCTGCTATCTTTGTCACAGAAGGACACCCGCCAAATGTCAGTCTGATCTCTCCTTTATGAGGTGACTCTTTGGATATACAGGGGTCAGGGAGCTGCTTGAGGAGACAGTCTGTCTTTTATAGGGGCTCAAGTGCTGAGCTGTGAGCTCCGTTGTTCATTCAGATCTGCTGGGCAGGTACGTTTAGGTCTGCTCTAGCAGAACTCATGAACTGTTTTTTGTTCCCAGGTGCTCTGTCCCAGTGAGTTACGGCTTTATGAGTTTCCGTTGTGCTGCTGCCTTTTTTTTTTTTCAGGGCTTCCCTGCTCAGCAAGGAGGCAGCCTGTTCGCTGTCTGCCCGCAGGGGCTTTGCTGAGCTGCTGTGGGCTCTGCCCAGCTGCCGTGTGAACTTCCCTGCAGTCTTGTTTATATGGGTGTAGTTAGAACTGCCTTGGCAATGGTGGCCCACCTCTGTATTGGCGGACTCTCTCTGTAATGGCAGGTTGCCTTGGCAATGGCAGGTAGCCTCAGCAATGGCGGGTTGCCTTGGGAATGGCAGGCTGCCTCAGCATTGGCTGACTACCTCCGTAGTGTTGGAGTGCCTTGTTAATGGCGGACGCCCCTCCCCCACAGAGGTGGACCATCCAGGGTTCAGCTGCGCTTGCTGTAAAACCCTCAATCCAGAGAGTTTCTGGTTGCTGTTCTTTTGTGGGGGTGGGAATCAGCCTGATCACCTGGCTCCCTGCCTCAGAACCTTTTTTTTCTTTTTTAGTTGAAGAGTCGACTCTATCCCAGTCACCTGTTGAAAGGGCGCCCTGGGATCTGTGTGATTTCCCGTTTGGTGACTCACTGCACTGGCTTAAACAGCGGTGCTGAGATTCATGGCGCTTTTATTGCCTGGGAATCTCCTGGCCTGGCTCCGTGTTCAGTCCCCTCTTTAATCAGATGAATGGGCGACTTCCCGGGTCTCCAATCACCAGCCAAAAGGGCACCCGGACCAGCGTATTTTGTACGGAGAACCGCCAGCAGGGGTGCCAACAAAGAAGCTGCGCAGGGCAAAGCAGCTGTGCTGACCAAAAGAACCGTGCCGGCCACAACAGCCGCGCTGGCGACCCACGGGGCTCCACTGCCTGGGAATCTCCTGGTCCGTGGGCAATAAAAATGTGGCATCCACTCACCCTCTGCGCTTTCACTGGGAGCTGCAACTCTGAGCTGTTCCTAAATGGCTATCTTGGACCTTCTCCCAGAAAATAATCCTCATTACACTTTTTAAGGTGTAAATGCTTTTTTTTTTTTGAATTTAATAATTTTTAACCTGCTTGGCAATTTTTAGAGTGGTAGTTCTCATATGTTTTCATCTCAGGATATCTTTATAATCTCAAAAATGAAGAACTCAAAGAATATTTATTTACATAGACTATATTAAAATTTGTATTTATTTTAAAATAGTAATTACTTGCATATAAACAATAGTTTTTATTAAAAACTATCTTGTTTTCAAAAAATCAGTGAAAAGAATGATATTGTTTTCAATTTACACAACTCTGTATTAACTTGCTCATGTCTGCTTCTGCATTATAGTACGTGTAGTCCAATACAGCATAAGAGCACATTATAACTACTCAAAACAAACTCAATCGATCTCTTAAAAAGCAAACATTTACACCCTAAACCTAGTACCTTAGGGAATTATAGAAAGCACAAAAATATACTACTATCATACATTCTATTAATCATTATATCAATAACAGGTTATGTAGTTTCTGGAAAATACCACTGTGCCTTCATGAGAGAATGAGGGTGAAAAAGGCATGTATTACCTCAATGTTACTATAAAAACACAAAGGTTACTATAAAAACACAAAGGTTCCTCCTGGAATCTTTAAAAGGATCCTATAGTATTCTATGAACCATACTCTAAGAATCACTGCCCTAGAGTACAATATAAGTTTTGTTTTAGAAACTGGAGTGCTTTTTAAAAAAATCTTTAATTGTCCCATTTCAGTTAAATTCTTCCTTAGTTTTATATTAGGTTAACAAAGAGCTTTCTAATACTTTAGAAAGAAGACAAAACTGTTTAAATTGTAGGGTTGCTTGGGAAAATACTTGGAAAATATACATGTTGACCTTAAAATAAGTTGGGCAAGATCAGTTTTGATTTGGAGCTCCATATCAGAAAGACTCATTCTAAGGACTTGGTCCTTAAAGAGTCATCTTCTCTTTTATATTCCCATTTCAATTGTGTACTGTATTTGGTAAATGTTTAAAGAAATAAGTATGTGTTGATGACTGTGGTTATCTGTTGTGGATGTATGTTAGAACCTGGAAATACATTGTAAGAAGACAGCACAGTTTGTAGGGACAAATTTCAGCAATATATGTTGGCTCCTTGTTGTATAGTTCAGTTGTTTTGTTAAAATATTAGGGAAAATTGATATATTTTAAAAATGTATTTCCAGAATGGAAGAGCAGCCTGTTTGCTCCTACTTGGAAAATATTCTTTCTAAAATGAATATATAAACTCCAGGAGCATATTGATGATAAGATTGCTTTGTTAATGGATTTGCTGCAAAATCCCAACTCCTCACCCACTGGGATGCCTCTAAGACATTATGACTCTGGAGAAAGACTTTCAAATGGAGAAAGATAAACCCTCAACATAAACAATGTACTGCAGATATTTATTACATATTTATTACAAAGCCAAAACCCAAAAATGTTTATAAAAAGCAAGGATTTAATGTCCTCATCTTACTTACATGAAGTGATCTCAGTGTTCATTATTCCTATACTTGTACTGTATACTAAGAGTTAATGTGATATAGTCCTAAATTACTTTTGCTAGTCATATTTTTCACTCATAAGTTTATGTATACTTCTGTGTTATATTTCTAAATGTTAAATAATTTTAATATAATTCATTAGCTTATATAGTATATGTTTAAGTACTGTTTTGATTTATATGAAGAACTTATTTTATAGTTTCAGGGGTATAAAAAGAATGATTAGAGTGTTTCATTTTTTTTTTTTCTAATTTACTGTTCTTGGAAAACTGGCTACTTAAGCTGGAAGCTTTACTTTTAGACCACCAAGTTAAATTTTATATTGTTTATTCAGATTAAAAATTAGATGTGATCTTTGGCATGTATAAAATCAGTTTACATTGGGACCATTAATTTTACATTCTGTCACATTGTAACAGGAGTTAAGAAAGTGAATATCAGAACTGGCCTATTCCTTGGTAGGATTATTACTTTGCATTTAGTGTATGATGTAAAATGGGAGCATTCATCTAGTTTTATCTCAATAAACCCAGAAAGTGTAAGGAAGTCTGTTTTGTTTGTTGTTTTGTTGGGTTTTTGTTTTGTTTTGTTTTGAGCTGATATAGATTCTTTTTTCCAAGCCCCTTCCTGATACATTTGAAGTGTGAAATGCTGAGGCTTCCCACTGAACCCAAAAAATTAATGGAAGGGAAATAAGACCTGAAAAGGTAAAAGACTTAGAATTAAGTGATTCAAAATAGTACATATATTTCACAAGAGCAAAAATATACCTGTGGAATGGAATTCAGAACTCCATGAAAGAGAGCTGGGGTCCAGAGAGCTGATGTCACACAGCCTGTGGCATGAATGTTAGAGTTGGCCCATTCTACCAACTCTGGCTGAGCCTGAGCTTCCAAAAGTGATCTGAGCTGTTCAACCTTGGTGCTTAATTACTTCTAGAAGAGATCATTATGTCCCTGTTTCTCAGATTACAGGCTTGAGAAGTTCTGAATATCCCATACCCTAAAGTTTTTTTTTAATTATTAATTTTATTGTTACAATTGGCTTTCATCTAGCTCTAGATGGTTGAACTGTAGTAAGTATGCTTACCTATCAGATTGGTTATTCTCTCCTGGCTCACTGTTCCCTAATTCAGAGTGTTAGATAAAACAAATTACTTATTCCAAACAAATTGGGTTTCCTGGGAGAATTTGGTATTTACAAGGAAAAATGGCAGACGCAGGCCTATGATCTACTAGGAAGACAGAATGAGGTACATGGGGCTCCTGGATAAGCTGGCTCCTGGTCTGTACAGCCCCCTCCCATCTCTGAGCCCTAACCAAGGTTTAGCTAGAAGCATCGATAATATCCTTACACCCTGAAATTATCCAGTTGTCAGTGGGAAAACTTAAAACTGTTTTTCCCAAAATACTTATCACTTACAAAATAGATTTACATATTCTCAGTATTGTTGGACAAAATTTTTAAACTATCTTAGTTTCATAAAATAATTTTAAACCTAATGTACAGTGAGGGGTGATTTCTGACTCTCTGAGTGAACGTATTTCAGGGGTCCAGGTGGTGGGGAGTAAAGCCATCAGCTCCAGGGTAGGCCTGTGGTCATTTCCAGCTACATATCACGCCTGTGAGAGGAAAAGAGTCTTCCCACTGTCTATCATTCTGACTTCCTTCCCTTTGGAGTTTGCATTTAAGTCCTTTTTTTTTTTTTTTGAGACAGAGTCTCGCTCTGTCACCCTGGCTGGAGTGCAGTGACATGATCTCAGCTCACTACAACCTCTGCCTCCTGGATTCAAGCAATTCTCCTGCCTCAGCCTCCCGAGTAGCTGGTACTACAGGCACATGTCACCACGCCTGGCTAATTTTTTGTATTTTTAGTAGAGACGGGGTTTCACCTTGTTAGCCAGAAGTGTCTCAATCTCCTGACCTAATGATCCACCTTCCTTGGCCTCCCAAAGTGCTGGAATTACAGGCATGAGCCACTGCATCTGACCTTAAATCCATTTTTATCCATAAACAAACTCTTTTGTCTACCTGGGCCAGCTTAGGAACCTAAGCCTGTCTGGAAAGATTTGCTTGCAGTTTGCATGCATAGGGATCTGTGTTTGTGGTTCACTCCTCCTCTACTAATGGAAGTATGCTGAGGTTGCTTAGTGGCTGTGTTGGGAGGGAGGCCATCTTCTGCTTTCCTGTACTTTCTCCATAGGTGTGGCAAAGATGTTTGATCTCAGAACGAAGATCATGATCGGCATTGGGATCAGCTTACTGGTTGCCGCGATTGTGCTCTTATGTGTTGTGCTCTGTCTTTACTTCAAAATAGCCAAGGCACTAAAGTGAGTCACATGGGGGAAAGTGAATCATTCCTCCTTAAATGGGATATGTGGACTCCCTATTTGAGCAAGATCATTCCTTGCTGCTGTGCCTTACCCCCGGATGAGGTCAAGAAGAACAAGCAGCTTTAAAAAGGCAGAAATGGCAGCTGAGTGTAAAATATTTTCCCTTCTGCCTTGGGTTTGTAGAATGTTCTCAGCTTAGGGCTGTGAGTGTCAGTGCTGCTCGGCTGTCACTGGACCTCACTGAATTTACCATCAGGTGTTTAATTCAGCACTTTGGCCAAGCCTCCCTTTGTTCAGCACCTTGGCTAGTGCCTCCCTCTGTTCAGCACCTTGGCCAATACCTCCCCGGGCACTGTAGGCTGAACTCTGCAGGGGAGGCTGCGTGAGTGAGCCTGCCTTGTGCTCATGCAGAGGGAGGACAGGTTGAATTATCTCCTCTTGCCTGAGTTTGGAGCTCTCACTGTGTTCCTTTGTTGCTGGTAGCCTTGAGGACAAGGAGGTGGACGTTTAGGACTCTGGGACAGCTGACCTGTGTAAATATCCTGGGAGACAGCAGACAACGGAATGTAGGTTGAGCAAAAGACAATTAGTTTGGGGAGAAGACTCTTCAAGTACCAGAGAGATTGGCTGTCAGATACAGTTGTGTCTCCATTCCAGGGAGTTCACAATGACACATCCCGGAGCCTGGGGCACAGCTGAACTCAGCACCTTCCCATCATTCCTGCATCTCGGGGGCCTGCAGTAACCAGCTAGGTTACCTTGCTTGCAATTCACTTACCCTTACTTTTGTAACCTGAGTTTACATTTATAGCAATTGTAGGAGAGGAAGGGATTCAAGAGGAACTTGGGATGGGAGCAAGCTTTAATTTAGGACTGGTGTTCATGTTTGATTGGCTTCAGCACTAAATTTCCCAGATACCCCCAACAGTTCTAACAAAAGGACTAAGAAGAAAAATTCTAAGCCTATGTTTTGTGTGTGTCTTTTCTCAAGAGCTGCAAAGGAATCTGGTCACAACTCAGACAAAGTGTTGGACACCAAGAACAGCCAGGCCAAAACCATTGCCACGGAGTCTTGTCCTGCTCAGCAGTGCTGTGAAGGATGTAGAATGTATGCCAATTTTGATTCCCTGCCACCTTGCTGTTGTGATGTACATGAGGGCCTCTGACTTGGGAAAGGTGGGCACAAAAATCTTCATGAGCAATATTTCTTTCTTAGTAGAACGTTTTATTATGCAAATCAAGTTCTAGAGTGTTTACATGCTATTATATAATGTACAGTGTTATTTTCTGTACTTCTGAATAAATGTGCAATATTGGAAATAATCCTCTTCCTCCAGTATTTTTGTTAGTTATAAACATCGCTTATTTAAATATATGTATTATCCACTTTGGGATTTGGGGTCGCTAGCTGGTAATATTACACTGCAGTAAAATAAAGTTAGAAAATAAAAATGTCCAGCACATCTCCCACCCTACAAGGAAAATGTGCATTGATAGTAGGGCATTTCCAGTGTCAGCCTCGGCTGATGTTACCCAGCTGAAGTAGCTTATTCAGCTCTCCTGAGGGCTTAGGTCATCTGCACCCAGCTCCTCCACCGCAGATAATGGTCCATTCATCTAAGACAGTGAGAGGAGCCGGGGGGATGTCTCTTGCATTAAAGTCATCTAATCTGTGTAAAAGTAGGCCTGAGCTCAGTGGCCTCAAAGGCACCTCTGGAAAACCAGATTCCTCCTGCTGCCACCCCCAGATCATCAGAGCAGGTGCCTCCTTTGTGGATACAGTAACACTGATGTGCATTGATCCAGCCCTCAACATCTTCAACTATAACAGGGACTTGCAGCCAAAGACCAAAACCCAGACTTTCTGGACCACAGGGAGAAAGAAAAGGAACTGTTTATCTGAGGATAACAGGTAAGCATGATGAGGAATGTGAGCTCCCTTTAATTATCAGGCCCAGAGAGGCATTGAAATGAAACAGCAGTCATGTCTCACTGCCTCACCCCATCTTGAGCTAAATAATTACCTCACGAAGCCACTTGCTATGTGGGCTCGCAACTGATGCCAAGAAGCCATAAAAAGCCATATGCTGGACATGAGAACTCATATCCCATAATCCAACACTGTAGAGCCAATCGCTAACCTATGTTATCTCTGTAAACCAGTGAGAATTCCTGTTAAACAGCTCTGTATTAGCCACTCCTGATCCCCTTTGCCTTTTTTTTTTTTTTTTTTTTTTTTTTTTTGAGACAGAGTCTTACTGTGTCTCCCAGGCTAGAGTGCAGTGGCGCAATCTTGGCTTACTGCAAGCTCCACCTCCTGGGTTCAAACTATTCTCCTGTCTCAGCCTCCTGAGTAGCTGGGATTATAGGCATGTGCCACTATGCCCAGCTAATTTTTGTATATTTAGTAGAGACAGGGTTTCACCATGTTGGCCAGGCTGGTCTCAAACTCCTGACCTCAAATGATCCACCCACCTTGGCTTCCCAAAGTGCTGGGATTACAGGCATGAGCCACCACACCTGGCCCCCTTTGCCTTTAAAAACCTAGTAACAGGCCGAGCAGAGCACTTCCCAAGGCAACCTGGAAGTGTGTCTTGGCTGGTCCTCATCCTTGGCCCAAATAACCTCTCTATGTTAATTTTCCTTCAGTTTCTTTTTCTAGGCCAAAGATAGCAACAAGGCAGCAGGAAGCCTCCCTTGCCTCTTCTGCTCCCAGCTGCCTTCTGTTCTGGCTCCTTCCCCTGAGCCTCCTGGAAACCCTTTCAAGCACCAGAAAGATGTAACCACCCTGTGCACTCCTCTCATGAACTAAACAGTTGCTTGTGAACACCACATGTAGACAATATAAAGAATTATTCCAGCCTGGGTAACATAGAGAGGCCCTGTCTCTACAGAAAATAAAAACTGAAAAAAACTTAGCTGGTTGTGGTGGTGCATACTTGTAGTCCAGCTTCTCAGGGGCTGAGGTGGATCACCTGAGCCCTGGGGTCGAGGCTTCAGTGAGCTGTGGTCACACCATTGTACTCCAGTCTGGGTAACAGAGAAAGATCCTGTCTCTAAAAAAAAAAAAAAAAAAAAAAAAAAAAAAAAAAAATAAAAATTAAAAAAAAAAAAAAAAAAAAAAAAGGAATAAGAATTATATTAACTAGTAACAGTTGGTTACCTACTAAAGGAGTAAACAGGAAAACAGGAATAGCAAATGAAAGAAACAGCTGTGGCATCCAGGCGATGGGGTGGTGAACAAAGATAGAACTAAGCATCTGGGGGGCCACCTGCTGGCTGAGCTCCAGGGCTCCAGGCAGAGTGTGTGGCAGTCTCGGGGATCTTCAGGACCTTAGTGCTGGGGAAACAGGCCAGAGGAGGCCAGTCCCAGCAGCTCTGGAGGAGCCGTCCGCCCTTGGAGCCAAGCAACTCCCTGGAGACAGCCCTGAGACCCCCTCCTGGAAGTGACCTCTTAGCCTCCAGTTTCTGGGCACTGTCTCCATCCTTTGACACTGATACACTTTTGTAACCAGCAAGCTCTGAGCAGAAAGAGCACCCACAAGTCCTCTCTTACCCCACCCAGTGGGGGATCCAGGAACATGGGCAACTATGCCTGGTGCAGGCATTCCAGGGGAGCCATGAAGGAGGTCTGTGGGACAAGGGTCTTCAGGATGCCCCCATTAGCAGGAGGGCAGAGTACCACACGTGGGCTTTAGAGCCCTACAAGCTCAGTTCCCATCCTGATTTGGCCTTCACCAGGGGAAGTCCTTTGACCCATCTGAGCCTCTGTGTCCTTGATGTGAAGTGGGGACTTGCACAGGTGACAGGGAAGAAGCAGTGAGATGAGGCCTGGTGACCCCACAGCACCCCATGATCCACAGGAAGTTGCCAAGGGCCTAAAGTTGGCTTCCCTCCTGACTGGACCCAGAAGCCTGGGTCTTTTACCAGGACCCCCCCCCACCCCACCCCTCAGAGTATGGCCATGAAACTCACACTCAGTGCAGACGGATCAGGGACATTGGAGATCCTGGTCATGGGAGAGGGAGAGGGGTTCAGAGGGAGAGCCCCGGGTGGGGGTGGTTATTTGTGGACACAGCTGTGAGTAAGCAGCACTTAGTAATCAGAAGAGTCCCCTCTCAAATGCCTGTACCCTGCTCACTCACCCCAGGACAACCCAGTCCTACTTCATCCACAGCCAGCCTAAGCAGACAGGAATGGAGCAGAGCTGGGCAGGGGTCTTGGAGAATGCCCAAGCTCCTCCTGAGCATCACATTCCGGCATCTCAGGTGCTGCCTTTCCCCTGCAGCATCAGGTGTGGGTCCAACAAGGAATGGATCCCCTGGGTCACAGCATAGGACTGTGTTCGCCCCAGGTAGGCACGCTGGGCTGGGCTGCAGCACAGTCAGAACAATACAGAGGAGTTGGCAGTAGCTAGAGGGTTTCCCCGCAGGAGATACAACCTACACCAATGTCAAACCTCCACAGAGCTGCACAGAGGTTCTTCAAAAAGTAGCCAATCCTGGCATTGTCCACTCGAAATGTTCCACCTGAACTTAGAGTGAAACCTAGATGCCTCATTGGTCCTACAGGTCCTTCCCCATCTTCCCTTCCCAGCTCACTCTTCCCACTCACATCCAACCAGGCTGTTCTTTCTTCCCTAATATTGTAGGTGTGCTCAGCCACTCCCTGCCTAAGGGCCTTTGCACTTGCCCTCTCTTTTGCCTAAAATGCAACCCCAGAGCTCAGATCACACATGAATGCCTCCCTTTTATCTTTCTTTGCTCAGATTGCATCTCTCAAGACTCACTCCCTATCTCCCACCCTCTTATTTCCTCCCTTCCCCAAGGCAGCCACTGTCTATTAATAGAACAGGTCACCCATTTTATTGTAGTCAGAGCTCCTCTCACTATGTGAATTCTTCATTTATTTTTGTTTTTTAACTCTCCATTTAGAATACAAGACTATGTCTCTCATGTTCAATTCTGTATTGCTCAGGACCCAGAACATTACATAATATTTGCTAAATAAATGAAAATGAAAAGAGAGCAGCCCCACCCTCCCTGATACACACACATTTGCCCTTCCTAGTCTCATCACGGACATCAGGATTTCCTGCTCTTGGCTGCAAAACACAGTGCCCAAGGGACCAAGCTAACTGCTCCAGCCTCTCCAGATATAACCTGTTAGAAATCTCTGCAGGGGAACAAGGATCTGCACTCCCTTTTCCTCCCCATGCTCTGCCCCCTCTCCTCACCCCTCAGTCATCTGGCAGAGCATCTGAGTGACTATAAGGTAAACACACCTGACATCAATAACTTAAGCATACCCTGAGATAACCCTGTGTGGCAGATGCACCTGAATGTGTGTTCAGAGGTAGTGAATCCAGGAGTGGTTAGCCCTGAGATTCATTTCTTGTCTGTGAGGAACATCTGAGCCCCAATCCCATCCTATGGAATGTAGGCCAAACAGGAGGCCAAGGCCATTTTGGGTTAAGTGAAGGCTGCCAGGTGGAGACTGCTAGGGGGAGGGTGCTAAGTGAAATTGCCACATAAACTGCATGCTCTTTGCCAGCAGTTGCGACTTTCCTTCCCAGCCCATCTCCACTGGGCTATGCAATTATTCTGTCCAGCCCACACTGAACTCTGTCCCCTGTATGTAGTCCATAATAAAATCCCATGTCTCAGTTTCTGGCTCTGAGTCTCTTCTTTGGCCTCTTGAGCCTGATGAGTTTGGAGTTGATAGGCGTTCGGCAGGACAGTGACCCAGCTGGAACCAGAGTTTGCCCAGGTGCCACATCTCCACCTTGCCCTACTGATCCTCTGGTCTCCCACAGGCCTTCCTTCCCAGGCCAGAGGCCCAAAGGCCTTAGATGTCACTGAGGCCTCAAATGTAAAAGGCCTCAAATGCCAAAGGCCTCAAATGCCAGTGCATGATTTGCAGGAACAGCGCAAAGGTCCAGCTCCCTGTCATTTCCACAGCAATTTTCTCATTGCCTGCTGGGTGCCAGCTGCTGGAGATCCCCACAAAGAGCTGCCACTGGGGGCAACCCTTCTAGGAAGGAGCGAGGAGCTGAGGAGAGGAAATTCTCACCGTGGGGACTGCTAAGAAACTAGTCATGGAGCTGCTCTATTCTCACACAAATCTACCCCTTGTGTGGCTGGAACTGACGTTTCCCTGGAGGTGTCCAGACAGCTGATGAAACACAGAGCCTACAAAAGCTGCCAGTCCTTAAGGCTACCAGCCCCTGACATGATGGAGTTTGTAAGGAGGCTCATGCCTTTGGCCCTTTTAATTGTCTCTTGATTGGCAGAGTTGATGTTGATGGAGGCTGAA